CGGAGGCCGCTGGGTCCCAGAGGCGGGCGGGCTGCGGCCGTGCCGCTTGGCCCCGCCTCACAGAGCAGGCTGTAGCCGCGCCGCCCGGTCTGGCCTGCCAGAGCAGCTCCAGCCAGGCCAGAGATATCCTCCCCTGACCCTCCCCAGATAAGGTGGGAAGGGATGGGATGGGGAGAGGGTGGGGTCATGTGGGGGGGTGGTCACAGGGGTTACTCCCCTGACTCCCAGCTTCCCTCCCCCCCCCCCAAAAAATGTCCCCACCAGTTGCTGTCCTGGCCCGTCAGGATAAGCAACTGGCGCACCGGGATACTTTGTTTACTTAGGTTTATCTCCGTGCCTGCGGCCGCTCGAGGTAAACAAACCATCTCGGCCCACCAGCGGCTTATCCTGATGGCCCGGGAGCGAAAGTTTGCTAACCCCTGAATTATAGGGTCAGCTTATGAACGGGTTATAAAAATTTTCCATTTTTGCTTATGCATCTTGGGGAGGTCAGCTTATAAATGAACCGGCTTATGATTGAGTATATACGGTAATTCATCAGCTCATTCTCAAAGGAGTTTGAAGCAAAGTTGTTTATCTCAACCAAACCAGGATTTTGTTCTCTCTTGGTATAATTCTCCCATAGACTGCAAAAATTAATCAAAATTAGGTTACTTTTGTTACAATATTGATTGAGGAAACAGTCCGCCATTGGAAACTGAGCTAGCATACACCGTACATAGCTGAAAAAGCCAGACATATAGGAAATAAATGGCATTGCTGCTAGATTCACTCAGACCAACCACTAAGTGGTGCAATTGGACTAGAAACGATCAGTATTTTCCCTAGTGACAGCGCCTGTGTCTATAAATCAGTTGTGTCAAACTCATGGTATTCTGTGGTTTATCCCCTGAGCAGCCATGCCAAGAAGCCAAGCCACTAATTGATTTCTGCATTTTTGAAGTGAATAGTATATTAGATAAGTCAGTTTTACAAAGAACTCCAGATTGTCTATTACGAAAAAAAAACATTGTATTTACACATCTACCAGTAAGCGATGGTGGTTATTTTCATATACAGTTGTTTGTTCTACTAAGATACATAATTGCCTAAAAACAGTATTATATTTTACTGATCAAACTGCAACACTCTAATGGTGTGATTTTTTTTTTAAAAAGCTGCTACAGAATCCCCCATTTGCAGCAGCATCATGTTGTGGTATGTAGAAACCATGCCATAGAATGTAGGCCTGGGGTGCACAGAGCTTTGTCTGTAGGTGTCTGCTTCTCTTCACCCATCACCGAAACGCAGCCGCCTGAAGTGCAGTAAGATGCAGCAGGTGTAAATAGACAGAATTACATTAATTTGTGGGAAGGATCAGGATTTGCACCATCTCTGATGGAACTCTTCCCTGGTGCCATGCACTGATAAGGCACCCCTAGCTTTTATCACAGAGCTGACTTCTGAATAGTGATTTAATTTGCACCCACCTGCACCAGGCAGCAGGTTTCTATTCCTTTTCACTCAGAGGGATAACATGTTCCCCCATCCTTCCCTACACAGAATTCATTTTCTCTCTTCATCTTCCAGGCTGGTCAAAGACAACATGCAGGCCACCTTGCAGCTTCCACACAAACCAAAATCTTTGAATACAACGCTCTGTCGGAGCCTGACCTCCCATGCCAGCACTCACCCAGACTGAGGGTTGAACGAGGTGGGCAAGGAACCTTTGTCACTACATTTCATGACAGTGTTAGAGAAGTGGGGGGTGTAAAACTGGGCCATGGGGGGAAATGAATGGTAAGGCATTCCTGGGTTGTATGCCCTAAATTTCCTAGGCCTTTCCTGCAGTACCTGGGAGAAGGGGCTACTGAGGGACAATGTGTCTGGATCTGCTGACAGCCAAGTGTAGCGTGATAGATCCAGGTCAGACCTTGATCCAGTAAAACACTTAAACGTACACTTAATTTCAATCAATGAGACTCCTCACTACAAGTTAGATACATCAATGTTTTGCTGAATTAGGGCCTAAATAAGTGCTTTAAAAATTCAATCCCCAGCTCCCTCTGCTAACAGGAAGTTTGGGGACTAGGAGCATAGGTAGAAGCTGTTTCGTTAAAGTTGATCACAAAAGGACCTACAGACTAAGAGAAAGTCTCATCGCATACTGGTTTCTTAATCCCAAGACTAGCAGAGCAGGGGGATTATTTCTATTGGCTCATATTTATCTCCTTGTAATTTTCAGGATCCTCCATTCTTTGCAAGGGAAATCCAAGGTCAATACATACAACCCATCCCTTCATTTGGGCAAGCGGGCCCCGGATGTTCTCGGGTTCTTCACACATTCTCTGAAGATCATCAGAACACGAGAAGAGAGAACCAGCCAAGATTTCCACAGTGAAATCACAATGGGGAGAAAAATGTACTGTCATTATGTTTGTTAAGCATCCATGCTGTTTGGCTGTCTGGTACAAGACAGCAGGTGTGGCCCATGCTTTGCACTCTTGATAGATTGACAATGTATAAAAATCTGGGAACTTCACAAGTAGGTTCTGTCTTACAGCGTCTTGGTGTGTTTTTTCTTTAGTAGTGCAGATGGGTGACCACATCTGGAAAGAAGAAAAAGTGCATGCCTGAAAAACTGAATTAGGGGCTCAGTTCAGCAAAACACTTAAGCATGTGCTTAACTTTAAGCAGTTGAGTAATCCAGCCCCAATTCAGTAAATCAATTTAGCACATGCAGAACTGGGCTAGATGACTCAGGTCTTTCGTATCTCTGATTGCTATGATTTTTATCCATGTGCCTCTCTATTGGGAGGGTAAATACGTTCACTTACCTTAGGCATGAATTTCAATATGCTAAAAATTGTACCACTAACTAAGGATGTTTCGTACTATGCATGAGGATGTGGCTTGTTGTAGAAGGATTCCATATGGCTGGAGATGTGCAGGCTGGTCCTGTGAAGTGCTGAGCAACTGCAACAATGGGAGTTGAGGTGAGTCAGCACCTCACAGGATCAGTTCCATGAAAAGCTGTGGTGGTTCTTCAATGTCATTGCTAAGTGCCTCTTTGCCATAGACTCGCCCAGCAATGTAAGCACCTGGAAGCATTAATAGTTCCACACTCTGGCCTGAAACTCAGAGGCAGCTTAAATAGCTCCGTCACTTTGCATAGTCACACCCAGTGCCATTGCCCTGCGGCACTAAGCAGTCAGTATAAATCCAGCAGCCGGCACTGCATATTTAATTGGGGAGTTTCTAGCAAGCCAGGTGACAGGCAGCATGACAGCGCAGATGCTACTTTATGTAATGCTCTTGCTAGGGATTCAAGGTAGGAAGGATAATGAACGTGTGAAATGTGGCAACCATTCATTGATTCAGCTGCTGTTGGGCTGAATCATTGGTATGTTTAATTTCTAATACCTTTAAACTTTCGCAAAGTGAATTCCCTACCATTTGTGACACATGTGCATTTTCTTTCCACATCTAGACACCAGTGGGCAGGTTGTGTTGACTCAGTCTCCAGAGTCTCTCTCGATCCTCCCTGGAGAAACTGTTACTATCAAATGCCAATCTGATACAGACATTGATGATGACATGAACTGGTACCAGCAGAAATCCGGAGCTGCTCCTAAGCTCCTTCTCTCTGAAGGTTCTAGTCGCCAAACGGGGGTCCCAGCCCGGTTCAGCAGCAGTGGTTATGGGACAGATTTCACTTTCACCATCAGCAGTGTTGAAAATGATGATGCTGGAGATTATTACTGTCAGCAAAGTGATCGTACCCCACTCACAGTGTTACAGACCAATACAAAAACCTCTCCCTGCTGCACAGTATGTTCTGCCCGGGCCATCTGTTCTACAGCAGTTACATAGAGGGCACGTCTCAGCTCTCCAACACTTCCCTACTCAGTCATGCATGCACAGTAAACCACATAATATTTTTCATTGTTCTCCCTCAAGCCATCTCAGCTCTTCGTGAATAATCTCCCCGCCTGAAAGTCATTTCCATGGAAGGATTTAGGGTTTTATCCCCTCTTGATAAAGTAAAATATTTCACCTGGGAAAACAAATTAACTGATGTTTAAGAGGAAACTCTCTACTTTGTTCCTTAAATTTGCAACTAATTAGGCAATACTTTAACTAGGTGATATTGGGAAAATCTGAGATACGTGAATATACACTAGCAATGGAAAAGAGGTTATTTTTTTCCAAACAGAAGCCAGCAGAAAATTCTGTTCATAGATGCACTGTGCATGTGTGAAGAGCTAGTTACTTTTGCGCTGGAAGGAATAATTGAGTGATGTGAATATAAACTTGCCTGGACTCCTCTCTCAGAAAACCTGGCTCTGGTTTATCTGAAACGTCAACAGCCTCCACCTCTCTGCAGCCAATAGGCCTCAAGGCCTAGTAGACTTTTCCCAGAGCTTCATTCTGCCTCATGGAGCACTCTGCACCAGGGCCAGGCTCATCTACAGTCCATGCAGACCCCAGGGACTGCTCTTTCTGTGACATTAGCGTAATAGTCCCAAAGGGAGCATGGAAGGATGGGGAGGAGGTGGTAGCAGGCTGGTTGTGCCCAAGGGAACAGGCTGTATTACTTTAAAGGCGATTGAAGCCTGGTTCCCCTGCACACCACAGTGGGGTGGGATGGGGTGAGTCTGAAGCCCGTCCATCCTCTCCCCCACACAAACACACACACTCTCAGAGCAGTGCCTGCCTATCAGACACATTCTAGTCATAGCTTAGTATTGATCGGGTAAAGCTATGAGTTGTTTACCTTTTTAAAAGAGGGAAAATTGTAACTGGTGACCATCCTCTAAGTCAGGGACAATAGCAGAGGATAAAGAGAAAGGATTAGGAAAGTGATTTATTTTCCCAATGAACAAGTGCAGCCTCCTAGCCAAGAAAGGAGGGAAAGGCTGGGTAATACTTCTTCACAAGTATCAGAAATTAGTAGCACAGAAGAGGGTGCCCTCAGCCATTCACACATCAGTTCACACCTATGGTGAAGCCCAATCAAAATGGAACCAAAATGTGGTCCCTTGGAGGCTTGGTTCTAGTCAGAAACCAAAACCACCATGACAGTTTGGATCCACCTCACTGAATCTGACCCATCACTTCCCAGGCTCTAGAGACACACAATGGAGTTCTAGTTTTGTCCCATCTCTAATCGCTTCTTGTAAGTACCATATTATTTGGGGAAGGCAACTGTTTGTAGGTGCTGTGGGCCGTATTCTGCTCTCACAATCAGCGTGAGTCCTAAGTGACTCCATTGACGTTAGTGGAGTTTCTCTGGATGGAGCTAATATCTGTCTGGCCCACCTGGGTGTGACTTTATTTCAAGCTAGGTGAAAGGAGCGGAGACTCCTGCAGGGGGCAAAGAGGGGAGTCCCAGGGCTTGGGCCTTAGAAGGCTCTGGAGGCCTGTGGCAGTTGGTGGGAGAAGCTGACAGTTGGCCGAAGTAACAGGGAGCGTGAAGCTGCTCAGAACCAGCCCCCCCAGCACTGGGGCTCCAGACGGGATCTGAGGCTCAAAACCTGCAGCCTGGCAGCAGTTCGTTGGTGCGAAATAAAACGAATGTCTCGTTCAACCTTCCCCAGGTCCACCCAGTTCTTGATCCAAGCTAGGGCTGACACAACCCAGGTGTTACCCAGGAGAACACCACTGCGGCAGAGGGATCAGGAGCGAGCAGCCAGGGTTATGATTGTAGACGCACCAGGGAACTGAAAAGGCAGTTGGAGCAGTCGTGACTGGAGCTGCCATGGGGTACGAGGCTGCCCAGGTGCCGGTGGTCATTATGGCGCCTATTGTATGGGCGGGAATGGAAGTTGATGCTGGTGCCCAGCATGATCCCATGCAACAGCTGCTCCAAGGGGGAGGCCGGGCAAGAATTGCTGCATCACGTCCTGTATCTGGCCATGCGTGAGTGGCTGCAAGAAGTGCTCCAGGACGAGGACACACAAGAGGTGTTGCGTCAGGCACTGCACTGGGAGTTGGAAGGGTGTCTACAGGATGAGGCCATGCAGGTGTTGCTGCATCAGGTCCTGCAAGACAGGATGCGAGAGGCTCTCCACGGCGAAGCCATTGAAGAGCTGCTGCCTCTGGCCCCCCATTTGCAGCTATACTGGATTTTCCTGGTGGAGGTCCTGCAAAGACAGCTGCGTCGGATCATGCGTCTGCAGCTGCAGATGGTTCTCCAGGACGAGGCCGTGCAAGAGTTGCTGCTTCAGGGCCTGCAAGAGAGGATACGAGAGCTAGTCCACCATGAAGCCCTGCAAGAGCTGCGGCGTCAGGCCCAGTGTCAAACAAGGCCAGGGCAGCTGTGAGTGCTAGTCAGTGATGAAGCCACGCAAGAGCAGCTGCCTCATGGCCTGCCTGAGACACTGCACTTTGGAGCATGTCTGCATTCAGCTGTGTCATAAATTGGTTCTGCATGTGGAGATTTATGCCTGCGGGCCACATCCTCCACTGCTGCAAAACATAACTCCATTGACGTCAGTGGAGCTGACCTAAACCAGTGGATTGGCCCTGTATTTTATGAACAGTGACACTCTTTGGAGCATCCTTGTCCTTCCAGCACCAGAACAGCCCTCTTACCAATCAGACACAAAGAGACTCAGTCAGAATCCCCATTTACAAGGTTTCTAGCTGTACAATACCCCACACGGTTGACCATTTCTTTTATCTGACTTTTCTTGCAAACCTCACAAAACAAATTACAGCCAACCTTTGCGCTGAGCAAGCCGGCACAAAGGAAATGGATGTAGCCAAACATTCATCTTCCACAGCTGTGCACAATTCATTCCACAGCATGGAAACCCAATCATATTTTTTAAAACTAAACTCGGAGCATAATTCTTGTTTAAGTAGGCCAGATCCTTAGCTGGAATAGCTCAAGATAAAGGTAGCCCCATTAAGGTGAATGGAGCTACCTTTATGTATAGCAACAGGAGCTGCTCAATGTCTTTGTCGGGTACTACTATGTAAGAGCACTTGCCCTAAGACAGCTATCAGCTGAGATATTTAAAACTTGAGTGGGAGGTAACTCGGCAAAGGTCTTTTCCATCTCTAATTTCTAGGATAGTATAAAGTTTTTGGCTACCATGGGGATGTAAAAAGCTTGGCTTAGTCAGTGATGAATGTCAATATGCTCGGTCATATTTTTATTTTCATTCCTAGAATCAAGGATGTGTCACAGAAAAAACAAAGAAGGGCGGCTGATGTTGTACAAAGAAGCAATGTGACAAAGCTGAAAAGGTAACAGGTTATAAGTGTCATTTGAAAAGGTCCATTTTCATTTTTTCTGGGCTGTGCTTGATTAAATTCTACTCTAGAGGCAAACCCCCGGCTTCTGATGATCCACAAATACCACCAGCATTTTCAAACTACACCCTACACCTCAAAAACAATTTACATCGCTCAGTCATTTTGCACATTCACCCCTGAGTGTCATTTCCTTACTGCTCTGAGCAGGGATTATAAATCTGTCATGTGGCATTTCAGATTTCACTGCAGGGCTCTGAGCTCCTCGTAACTCAGCACGGCTCAGGAAGCAGTTCTGTCGGTCAACTTTCTTCTTTAGGCCGTAAGGACTGTTCTTGCACACTCATAATGAAGTTGTCTCTCTTTTGAGGTCCTTCCACAAGCCATGAGTTTGTTAATGTTCAGTCACTAATGGGTTTTCCCTCTCTCCACTGCTGTCGGTGAACTGATTTCTGTACAAATCTTTCAAGTCTATCTTTGGTGATTTGCTTTCTCCTTCCTTTTATGGTTTGTTGGGCTGGGGTGCAGACCTGGTCATTGCTTGTTATCGCAACCAGATGAATTTCACTCTGACCCCTCATATATTTTGAGGTTATATTCTTCATTATCAATTCCTTCCTCCACAGATACCAGGCCTTTTCCTTCATCACATCATTAGATGTGCATCCTGTCCATGTCTTGGCTGTCATTATTGTACGCATTGCCAGGTGCTTAACTCGGATCACATTCTTCAAGTTGAGTTTTGTCTGTGAAGTAGTTCTTATTCATCTGTAATATTCTTTCCTCACTTCTTTGATTTCCTTATGTTGTAAATCTGACAGTTCCCCCATTCCAAGGTATTTGTAGGGGCCATGCTGAGAAATCTTAGACAGTACCTTCCTTAACTTTCAGGCCATCTGATTGTACCAGTTTGTCCCTCTTTACAGATGCCAACACACATTCAACCAAACCAACCTTTTATCATAGAATATCAGGGTTGGAAGGGACCTCAGGAGGTCATCTAGTCCAACCTCCTGCTCAAAGCAGGACCAATCCCCAACTAAATCATCCCAGCTTTATATTGTTGCTTTATATCTTTATAAATGTTGTTCATATCTTCAAACTTTTCTACACATCATCAGTCTCTGCACCTTCTTTTGTGACCATCCACACAGGTTCAGATATTCCACATATAACCCATGCGTTATTAGTTGCATTTTGGTAGCCCCTAAGGACCTAGACATGGATCAGGGACACATTGTACTATGTGCTGTACAAACAAAGAACAAAGATATGGTGCTTGCCCTGAACAACTTACACACTAAGTGTAAGGTATGAGACAACTGCGGGGAGGGCAGGGCTGTGGGGTTTGACATGTGTTAATAACATCATGCAGGGGAATCTTTTTATTTCACATACAAAGTTGCCACGTATTTTACCAGGACAATACTGACCAGCAAATTTTCAAATGATACTTTACAAGGAATACTTTGTACAAAGGTTATTACAATAGTGTGTGGGGTGTGAATACATGGGTGTATTCCATCACAGCCAGTGCTGTAAGGCTCTCATCAACCCCACCCAGACAGCTCTGTTGTAGTTGACGTAACATCAGAATTCTTGGCCTGCCT